GAAGGCTCTTTAGCGATCGGGTTGATCCGGAGATGGACATATAGGACCTCCGACAATAGCGTGGGCACTAGGGACAGTGTACTGAGTATTAAAACCTCCCCAACCACCACCGTTTCAATCACGCAAACAATTATTTTTGTCATGTGAGTGTTGCCATGCGTTTTTCCAGGTAGAACAAAGGCATGCAAGGTCAACTGAGGTCATCCAAGGTCAATGACCCATGTTAACAGCAGCGGATAGGCTAGATGAACAAGACGCGCGTGACCACCTTCCCACCGTGTTTGTGAAGCTGATGAAGTCTAATTGCATGTACCAGCGTACCTGTTCTCAGGTTATTGCAGATACATTGCTATGCGTCAAAGGGACCATGCATGATGCAGACAACAGATATGTGACCTCGAATACCTGTAGCCACACATTACACTACATTTGGCCACAGATTATAAACGTTGTATTAGTCACATCGGCCCGAACGGCGCTTCATTTTCTCATTTGGATGGCTTTAAAATCTGACCTAAGTTGACCTCAGATGACCTCTAGGCTGCCCTAAAATTATATTTTTTTTTTGCTTGGAATGGTTTGGTCCCACAGATGCAGGTCGACCGTTTTTTACCTTTCGTGACCCCTGGTGACCTCATATTTGACCTATGTTTAGTGTGAATTTTTCAATGACTTGACGAGACCTTCAAAACGGTATATTTTGCTTTCCTCATCCGGCGACTGAAAGTTGGAGATCCCAGATTCAGCAGCCGTGATTGATACCGATCTTGCCATTCCAGGCCTCAGGAACAAAACACGGGAGAACCACAGATCAGTTCAGACTGTCATAATGAAGCTGAGCAGGTTTTCAAAAAGATCACGGAAAGAATGGTGCAACTCATCATTACCGACTGAGGTGTCGCCGCGGATTTAATCGCTCTTTGAGCTCCAGTCAAGAAAAGTGCGCAGTGTTCTGTGTTGTCGGGTAAGAGAGCAATTGGCACTGAAGTGAAAACGGGCCTGCGCTTGATCCACGAAAAGTGCGCTGTGAATCAGCATAAATATATCATTTCATGATCAGTTTAAACCTAAATATCCTATTCATTCTGAGTTAACAGTGAAAGCAGCGGTTATGACACAAAAGGATCGATGCTTTGTCTACGTTGTAGGTATGATTTGGTTCGCAACGTGACTGCAAGTGATTGTGTGATGCGTAATTTAACACGCGCTCCGATGGGGGCTCAGATTGTGTGATGCGTAATTTAACACGCGCTCCGATGGGGGCTCAGATTGTGTGATGCGTAATTTAACACGCGCTCCGATGGGGGCTCAGATTGTGTGGTACGTAATTTAACACGCGCTCCGATGGGGGCTCAGATTGTGTGGTACGTAATTTAACACGCGCTCCGATGGGGGCTCAGATTGTGTAGTTCGTAATTTAACACGCGCTCCGATGGGAGCTCAGATTGACCCACCAAGGGTTTTCCAGAATGGTTTCCGAACGGCACGGCATGGCCGCGCCAACTATTGCGTAACTGTAGGCAACTGAATAGCAGGTCGTTTGGCATAAACAAATTTAGATACACCTTGTAACGGTCGCTAAACCTATGGCAGGTCAAAGTCATGCAATGGTTTCAGCGAAGGCAATATGAGGAATAGTTCATCTGATCCAACAACGGAGCGTAAGACGAAGCCATACATCTCTGGGATACTTTCTTAGGTTACACAACAATTAAATAAACAATTGTATTGACCTAAGTCCAGGTATGAAGGCCATAGGAGGTCAAATCAACCCGTCTCTAGGTTGATTGTGATGTGATGTGATGACGATGATATATGTCCTTAATCTACGGCTTGCTGTATGAGGTGGTTTCTGGTGCTCATTCCGAATTTATTGACCACAGGTTCCGCATTATACACCTTCCATAGACTTCTTTAAGGTCAAAATAGGTCACTGACCTAGAATGACCCAGGTCAACATTTTGTTTTTAGGAACATACTGCCTAGCTAATATTTGCCGCTTATCCAACTGCATAACTCAAAACGGTCCTGTATGATTTTGCCACCATGACCTTCAAAAGGTCAAACGGGGTTGCTGACCTTAAATGAGCATTTGACTTTCGTATAAGACAGCCATCTAGGTTCCAGGGGTCCTTTGGAGACCAAACTGGAATTTCACTTATTTGACCTTATTTTACCCTAAGGACATGACCTAGGAACCTCAAACATTAGCATTAGTCAGTTCACGTACAGGCCAACACACCCGGTAAATTTTGTGTCTCTAGCTCTTAGCTTCTTAGATCTCAGTGGGTCAGATTGACCCGCCCCCCCCCCCCCCTTCTCACCCGAGCGAGGATACCCAACCGGCCATCCGAGCGCGTGCCAAACATAATTTTGAATTAATCAGTGCCTTACTAACCTGGATTGCCTGTTGTGCCGATATTGCCGTGAAACTGTCGGCCACATAAACAGAGGATGGTGGCTGGCTATTTGTGTAAGATGCACCTTCCTTGGTACTCAAATAGCAGTTGGGTGGTTTTCAAAAGCAAAGCTTCTGTTGAAATTAGGACATTTTTGAAACCTCAGCTGAACAGAGGACCTGCAGTTTTCTCGCATTTGCTACTGAGATCTTGTTTGGAGTCCCGGGAAAAAGTCCCGGGGGACCCCCATAGTTCACCTGGCACTTACACCTTTTAGGCGTCCACTTCGTGCCCTAGACATACCAGCACGGAAATAATTATTCAGGTGGAAATTCAAACTCCACACGCATACCCCGCAGCATCGACCCTCCGCTTACCCACCTCACGACCCCCTCGGGAGCGACGGGACCGCGTACTCCGAACTGGACGACTCGACAACAGCTGGTTTAGAGACGAAACATCGTTGGGCAATAGCCCGGGAGGAAAGACCCCAAGAATGAGCGCAATCCCAACAACATTTTATGTTAAGAACGTAATATTTTGGTGTATTAGCACCGTATTTGTTACATACAATAAAGCTTTATCCGACAAATTTGGTACAAAGTCATCTGCAAGGTGCACTCGTCACCAACAAACCCGCGTCTTGAATCTTGACAACAAATAATGGCCGCTACCTAGTATTAGCATATGTCATAGTTGACTACAATATCGCACTTGAAACCTCTCGAGATGGAACTTGTGGACAGCAAATTACTTAAAATTTTTGGTACAGAGCTATAAACAACTATGGGTGGGACTGCCGTTGTCGTAAGACCAAAACCGTTGACCGGCGCAGAAAACGCTTCGAGGCCAGAGCCGGACGCGCGAGAACGACCGTCCTGAATAGTGCTCCCGAGTCTTTCAGAAGCAATTCGTAATGTTCAAAAATAGGACGCTGACTACCTCTGACCTTTATAATTGTAAGGTTATTCATTAATTGGATGATTTTTTTTGAGAGAACAAATGAGAACAATTGTAGCAGCACGAAAAGTGGATAGTCTTCTTTACTTTTCCAGTTTCAAAGCCAGATTTCAGCAAGAGCTTTGCGCTGCTGTAAATACTAATCCGTTTCGGTTGCCAATCCAAATCAATACAACAATGACGCAGGTCAAATACCCGACAGGAACGCTTTCTAAACGCATAAATTGATGTTATAAAGTATTCAAGGGTACTTATTTTAGCTATTTTTACAGTTCAGGCCGCCGTTAGCCGCTGCTTCGTGTTACCCGCAGGCCGAACCCGTGCTGCCTGCGGTGTGCAAAGCCGGACGTCTGGTTTTTGGTTCTAAGACTTCAGAGCGCGCACGTTTAAAACTTTGGTTCATAGTTTTTCACTATTCACTTCTTGCTGAAGGTTGGACATTCCCAGGCGAACATGGGTTAGCTATGTAAATACAAATTGTTGACCCCTTTCGATCCGCAGTCAGTCCACGTTCCCAGTCTTCGATATCTGAGCCCAAAATCGTGCCTGTTCGGGAGCAAGTGGGCCAAATTTGGTGATTTTTTAGGGGGCGGGGGCTTTCACCATCAAGGGACCCCTTTGCCAGCCTTGTGCTCTCCCGGACGGACACCTACGACGGACACCTACGACGAACACCAAGACGAGGCGTGGTGGACGTGCCGCCGGACCCGCCACACCCGTCTGAGGCCCCACGGGCGCTGGAGATTCTAGCCAGAGGAAGAGCTGGGATGCGCCGTGACCGACGCGCACGACGCGCACGACGCGCCTCGCAGCCACCAAGATCCGATCGACTCGGGGACGCGGCCGACGCGGGCACAGCGACCCGGTAAAACGAAGACGGAGCATTGTGAGCGCAGGATGAGAGAATGCAGGTGACCGGTAAAGGGGGGGAGGGGGGGGGGGGGACAAAGAACAGCTCAGTTCAGGCACGGTCCCTTGTCCCTAAAACGAACGGCTCGCGCCGACGGCCTGTTACTGGAGGTGGGATTGGGGAGGCGCTACTCCACCACACTGGCCAAAACCCGTGCCTCTGCGGCTCTCAAATAGGAAGGAACTTTTGGTCTGGTCCCTCCCCTTTTGCTTTGGAAGAGGCGTTTTATAACCTCCCCCCTTCCCTCCCCAACCGCTCCGCTACGGGAGGCTGGTGCCCGACAGGAGGGGGGGGGGGGGGGGGGAGGGAGCAGTCGATTATTGATGTGGCCCCTGCATCACGGACTACGTTGGAGCTACACTAATGTACACGGCTGATATGGCTGGCTGGTATTTGCCCATAACTAGGACTCCGATGTTAACGATCCCGGTGAACACGTCAACATCCCGGTAAAAGTGTGGTCAACATAACGCTTGGGCTAACATGGGTCAGTAGCTCAGTGTCTGGATGGAACGGCAGAGGAATACTGGCCCCTCGTCTGTAGATCAGTGAGCGCTCCAGGTCTGTTCGTGCACATCTGGTTTCCTTGTACTGTCACCATGTGAATACACGCGGCTTGTGCAAGCCCACACGGCCTGTTCATTGTTCTTTTACTTGCGCTGGAATGCGAATTGCGTACAGATGATCACTGCTTGCGATTACTTCTTGCCTTACTAAACAGACGACGTAAGTCCGTTTTGCTATTTTTATTCGTTCTTGGTTTACGCTGGGCGGAGCCAGCGGCCGACCCTATGGCGAAGCAGTCTTGCCGCCGGCTGCGCCGTTTACCGGGCGTCTCATATCACAGCGCAGCGAGTCGGCCACAAGCGGGGGCTCCGGTCTTGACACATACAGCCCACACTCGACCCTGAGCCTTCCAGCCAGCCACGGCCGTCCGAAGCCGGCAGTCAATGGCAACATCCAAGCAGGCAACGTACGGCCAGAGGCCACCAAACATCGAATCGGACACCCAATGACAGCGTCCAACTTTGACCAACACAAACGACAGCCGTCCAGCCTGGGCCGCACAACCCACTGCAGCGCTTTGTCACAGTCGGCAGCCAATGGCGGTACGGTTCTGGGCCGGCCGCTCCATGGGAACGCCGGCCACGGCGGTACACACCATGACTGGATGACGGTCGGGGCGGACGGACTAGCTGTAGGTGCGCAGGCTTTGAAGCCGATCTCGCGAGGTGGCCAGACAGTAGGCGGCTGCCAGTCCCAGGCCCACCCCGCCGCCCATCAGACAGCGGCGCGCGCCAGCTGGGGACAGACGGTCTACCCGTCACATTGGCGGCAAAGGCGCCCGCCGCGCCAACCAGCTGGCGATGGGTATCGCCCTCGTCTGATGTGCTAGCCTGTACACAATGTTTCAGCCCATACATTGCCCGGATGTCGTCAGATGTCAATGGGTTCTGACAATGACCGCATGGGCAGTGGCTTGTAGCCGTGTGTGGTTCAGATCACGAAACCTCTCCTCCGAAATGGTGGAATTTGAACCGGCGTGTTCCGATTGCGAATCTGGGTTCGACCAACTGACTTAAAACGGGAGGACAATCGTTCGATCGCAAAACTTGGTGCAATTCATCTCTTGGATATTTGGGGATTGAATCATCTGCAGTGTTGGAAACCATGTTGGGCTGTTGGTGGATGCTGGTTATTGGGGCTTTATGGCGCGCCGACTGCCCTGGTCATATGGCGCCCCATGTCTGCGTTTGGCTGTTGACAGGGTTGACTCTGAACGCTTGAGACTCGGAAGTCCGGCGTAGCAGAATGCGTATAGTGAGAAAGCAATCACCAATCAACACGGGATGGAATAACCAGCACGGACGCAAAGCAACACTGAAAAGTTAGAAGGGTCTAGGAAGCAGGATACATGAAATTGCTACCAAACCTCGTCCGTTAAGCCAAGCGTATCCCTCCGCCCAACATGGCTCCCACTACCGCAGACAAATTTCCATACATTTTGGACATCAGTGACACTGAGTTCTAACATCGAATGATTCTCTTTCGGGGGGGGGGGGGGGGGGGTTGCGCTCAGTTGGTAGGGTGCTTGACTTCGCAATCCTGAAGTTGCGAGTCGAGTGAGAAGACGAGTGAAAGAGACAGAGACAGGAGACCAGAGACAGAGACAGAGACAGAGACAGAGACAGAGACGAGACAGAGACAGAGACAGAGACAGAAGACAGAGACAGAGACAGAGACAGAGACAGAGACAGAGACAGAGACAGAGACAGAGACAGAGACAGAGACAGAGACAGAGACAGAGACAGAGACAGAGACAGAGACAGAGACAGAGACAGAGACAGAGACAGAGACGAGACAGAGACAGAGACAGAGACAGAGACAGAGACAGAGACAGAGACAGAGACAGAGACAGAGACAGAGACAGAGACAGAGACAGAGACAGAGACAGAGACAGAGACAGAGACAGAGACAGAGACAGAGACAGAGACAGAGACAGAGACAGAGACAGAGACATAGACAGAGACAGAGAGAGATGTAGAGAGAGAGAGAGAGAGAGAGAGAGAGAGAGAGAGAGAGAGAGAGAGAGAGAGAGAGAGGAGAGAGAGAGAGAGAGAGAGAGAGAGAGAGAGAGAGAGAGAGAGAGAGAGAGAGAGAGAGAGAGAGAGAGAGAGAGAGAGAGAGAGATACATACATACATAACTCCGATTTCAGAGCATGGGTTCTCAGAGTGATTTCAGAACATAGATCAGGGTTGTCCAGCAGCAGTCTGCTGTTCAATAAGCAATTTGTGAAAAAGTGATGTATATGCAACAAATACCAATGGACGACGGCGATACTCTCGCCTGCCATCCTGTCTGACCTACCTATAGCCTCCCGCCTCTTGCCATCCTTCGAATCCCGACCGACATACATCGCCTGTGCCAACGTGATCGTCCCATCCTCCAACAGTACATTGATACCTGGGGCCCTTGTTTGACCACTCAAAAATGGCCGGTCTTTGTCCCGAACGCTGTTACAGGCTGGGAGCCGACCTCATCTCACCTGACCACTCATCTGTCCGTGTCCACCACCTGACCTGACCGGACCACCAGCCTGTCGGTGTCCGCCACCTGACCTGACCTGACCACCAGCCCGTCGGTGTCCGCCACCTGACCTGACCTGACCACCAGCCTGTCGATGTCCGTCACCTCACCTGATATGACCACCATCCTGTTGGTGCCGGCCACCTCACCTGACGACTTATAGAGCAGGCCGGTGGCTGTGCCGGCCGTCAGCGTGTTCAGCTCGTCGTCGGTGCCCCGCGCCCATGACAGCAGCACGCCGAAGGAGAAGTACATGACGGCCATCACGCCGACAGTGTTCGCGGACGCCGCGCCCCGCTTCATCACGTAGTTGATCATTCTGAGGCGGGCAGAATGCAGAATTGGCACGAGCGGCGCGATACAGCGCATTGGACAGCACGATGGCAAATCATTTGCGTTTTCGTCCCGACGGTCTTCACGCAACGAAGACACTTGGCAAATGTTCATCAAGGCAGACGGCTGTTCCCAACATTAGCAACGCAACTGATCATATCGGTCACAAATGCAGAGACCCCTGTGGCATCCGGGTCACAATCTGTTGCCCGTGAAGCGTCTCTCAGTTCAAATGAGCTTCGGCATACAGGGCCGCTCAAGACGGAACCACCACTGCGCGCCATCCCAAGGTGACGTGCGGTGCTACGAATGGGTGGCCACCTAACCTGCGAAGTGTTTCCCAATCTCGAAAAACTGAAGGCGTCAGCTGAGGCACAGCTGGCAGGAAGTCGTCAGGTCACAACCAGCACTCGCCAGTCCAGGCGCCGGCCGGCCGGGCGTCCGCCCTCAGCGGCGTCGCGTCGGCGGCCACCACTCACTGTGTGCGGCGCACGGCGCCCGTGTGGCCGGCCAGCTGCGTGTCCCGTATGCCGCTGAACAGACCGATGGCGCCGCCGTACAGGCCGCCGCCCAGGCAGCCACCTGTCAGGCAACGCACGCTTTCAGGCCGGCCAAAACGCACCACGCCAGTTTGGTGAGCCCACGCGAGAGCGCAGAGCGCAAAACATCACCGTAACACCGAGCAGACGACATGTGATTGAGACCGTGATTTCATGTCCTAATTAGCAGTCCGGGAGTTGTTGAAGGGTTCAGGCAGTATCGCAGGCAGAGAGAGGGAACGGGGGGGGGGGACGGGGGCACGTGCCCCCTTGATTTCAGTGGACGCGAAGGGCCCCTCGGAACCCACGATTAGGGGCCCGAAAGGTCGGCTGCAGGTCCCATTCAGGGGCCCCGGCCCGCAGGGTCGGCACTCTTGTACCAGCCAGAAGGCCCTGCACGCTGATCAGGGGCCCTGAGTCCTTAAGTGTATAAATGTCGGCTAGACATCCTAGTAACACAGTCTGATCTGTGACGGCATGGCCTAAGGGCTCATTTTACAAGCAGGAACAAAGCCGGAGCCAGTGATTTACAATGGTCGGGGCTCTAGCGTCTATCAGGGCCCAAAACACCTAACGAGACCTCAACACTAGAGTCAAACAGTTGGCTCCATGTCCGCCTAAGCCCTTGGGACCCATTTCCCAGGCAGAAGCGAGGCCGCGGCCCACGATTTGCAATGTTCGGGGCCCATGACACAATGAGGGGCTCCTATATCGGTCAGGGGGCCGACAGTATCTAACTGAGTGTCCTGTGCCAACAAGGGGCCCCGAGTCGGTCAGGGTAATATTTGTTCAGCAGGGACCGGGACGGCATCCAGAATGACAGACGGTTTCTTGCGCTGGGCGCAGCCCTCTGACAGTGAATGGAAAAAATGGGAGGTTATGACGAGTGCTCACACTGGGACAGTGGCAAGGCCCGGTGTCAGTCAGGCCCCCCAGCGCCGAACGGTCGGCCTCTCAACTCAATTCCAGCACTGAAGTCCATGTGACAATTATTGGCCCACCTGCGGCAATCAGGGTTGCTGCGTCGGTCCGGTGCCAACTGCGCGTCAGGGGGCGGACCGATGTGATATGTATGAAGTATCCCTCTAAGGGACTCAATCGACCAAGGGATCCCGCCCCGTGTCGCTAGAACGGCAACCGGAAGACACACCGCGGTGGGACAGATGGCCTTTCAACCCTTTACCAGAACAGTAATATGCCCTGAGTGTTCTACCCCAATGGGCCCCTCGCCCGGAAAGAAATGGAGCATCATAAGTGTTGAGCAAAGTCGGCCGAAACGAGTGAAAAACGGACAAGGCCATCCCATATTTGCTTGAGAACGTTCATCCTTTTGCAGAATAGACCAAGGAAACAAATTACATCAGAAGGTTTGCCTTCGCGCATCCGCAATCTCGGGAGCAAGGACAACGATGGCCTGGGTTGCAGCTTCCGTAAAACTGAATGGCGTTAGCCACTGCAAGTGACGCCATGCGGTGGGCGCCACGCGCACGAAAACCACCGTCGTGAAATGATGGCTAACAATGTCTGAAATTTAAGTCGTACCGTTCGCACCGCAAGATTAGACTGGGCGATCTTTTTTTTTACAACTTTGAGGATGTCCTCTGGACAGATTAACAGCTAGAGCAACACGAAAAAAGAGACTCTACCCTTACTCTCCCAGTTCCACCACCAGATTTCAGCATCACTGCGAGGCCCTGTTGAGGCCAATTCGCTATCATTAATCTAGAAATCACATAGGTGAACTAAATACTCGGACCGCTTTCAAAATGTATGATTCGATGTCCTAAAGTGTTCAAAGGCACTTCTTTCAGAGGCGTTATGCACTTCGTTCACCTCCTGGGCAAGGCTCAGTTTTTACCGCCCGACCGACGCCGCGCGGCCTATCGAGACTGCAACGCCTGCGTCAATGTCTCTGTTGCTGAGATTTGTAAGCATGCATGTTCAAGATTATGGTATATAAGTTGTATCCCTGATCAACAACTTATTTTACATTGTTGTTTAAAGCACTTGTCATATCTAAAGCAGCTCTTCAGTTTATCGACTACAAAGTTCAGACAGAGTTGATCTCACTAGGTTTTGGCTATTATTCCAGTTAAAGATGGATAAGATAAAAAATGACATAAACAAGAAATAGACCATTTCCGGCGATTTTTTGTGGGGCCTTTTCAGAATCAAGAAGCTCTTTGAACACCCTGTACCCCCTTGCCGAGGCTCTGGCTGCATGCCTGTGCTCAGGTGAGCTGTCTTAACTGTTTGTGGGCAATAATGGAAAAGCTGACAGATGCTTCACTACTTCCCTTTTAACTCCAATGTCATTATTTTTGAGGGCACCTTATAAAATGTGCAATGAAACCCATTTCCCATGTCCAAATACTACATCTCTGTGGTGAGAAAATACGAGTTAACTGGAGTAGGCATAAGAAAAACACTGCTTTCAAGATGGAATAGGCTATCTCAAATTATACCATGCACAAAATGTGGCCCACTTCATTCCAACATTCACTCCATATCACATACCTCCTATCTGAGAGAAGGCCACTTCAAACCGGCCCCGCTGCTTTGAGGCTCCTTCAGGGAAGATGAACTCTGGCTGTGTGGCACCGAGGTATGATGGATCAAAGTTGAGGTACGGCGATATTTGTGCAAGCCCGGGAGACGAAGACACTGAAAGAAACGTTGTATTAGCTGCGTGCTGTTCTAATTCACACTTCAAACTTGACCTACAGGGATGTATTCTATGGCTTACTCCATATATCCCATATAGGTAACCAATCATGCTATCTTCAGGAACAACCAAATTATTGCTGTTTAAAATGTTGTGATCAACAACATTCTTTTCTAATACAGCGCAGTGCACTAAGTGTGCTGCCTCATGGTGCAAAATAACTTGGAGGCTGAGCAGGGAAAAATGTCAAGACCTGCTCCCACATACATCAAACATGGCATTTGCACCAAAAATGATGAATCTTTCCAGTACAGATAAGGGCTTGATGGAGTCCCTGACTGAACATGAAACTAGTCTGATATACAATGACATGTCGCCCCCATCCTGGTGCTCACTGAAACTATGCCCCTGGTCTGATGTCCATTGAAACTACACCCCTGACACAGTGCGGGAAAAACCTCCGTTTTCTGGTGGATGTGGCACCAGGAAATTTTGTACTCCAGGCTCTTGACTGGTAAGGATGACAATTTTTGTACTCCAGACAAATGCTGCAGTCGCCCCACAAAGCAGACACAATTGCAAATGTATGAGCCTGAGTATAAGTACCAAGGCAGACAGTTTTGCTTTCTTGATAGCCAGGAGGGTGCACAAACTTTGCTTTCATAAAGTGAGTTATAACTTTTATTTGATTTCCAGGGATCAAACATATGGAGCACCAATAAATGGAAACACGCGTCTGCAATCCTGCAGGAGCTGGCCAATCCAGGGCGTTCATGTCAATGTCCATCATTGTATTACATGGGTTAGATGCACTTGTACAAGCCTATGCAACTCCTGAATGGTGATGACAACTCATGTGAGTTACTTCTGTGGAACTGAAATATGAAATGTGCTTGTTTTAAGTACCTACCGCTGCCACATACCTCGCATGTCATTACCTGTGGGGAAAATATATGGCGCACCTAAGTAAAACCGCATTCTCCACGACGCACACACCTACCGATACCTTTCAAGAAACAGACATACATATCACGGCTCTGGCTCCCACCACGCGACGGACCCATCGCCTCCCGTACCCGAAACCAACGGCAGCCCAGCCTCCTGCAACTGACGAGTGCATTTTCGAGCAGTGAGGGTCCGCGTCGCAGCAAACACCTACAACAATATTCGTTCGACTAGAAAACCATCAGCAGCACCAAAATCACCGATGGCACATCTTTTTCAACTAGGTCATTCAAGGACTCGCCGAGCAAGAAGTCCAGCATACCAACTATGCTCTTAACTTACCTCATATTAAGATAACATGTTAGCGATTTTACCAAAGGACGTGCATCTTGCAAACAGTTTGGTGGGAAAATTCCAAAATATTGCAGCATTGCACATCCTTTTCAAAGCGCTTGTTTCATTCCTGCTCCTGCCATACCAGCCACCAATCACCATCCAACTTGTAATTAAACTCAAAACCATAGCATTCAAAACACACCACATATCGGCACTTTTGAAATAGCATCATGACATTAAATGGCATCCAAATATCACGTTTGTGGGCGGCACTTTTGGTGGTAACGGCTTCTTTTGGGTTCTTAAATGTCATCGGAAATTACGTTCCCAAGATGGGAGTTTGTGGCACGCAGCATTCCAAAACTTATTACTATTGTATAAATGATAGTACGTCAACCATTTTTTTCAGAAACCGGTAAATGCCGGTCTTTGAAGATTCGAGGATATCTTACTTATTTAACAATGGTATCACGTCTCCAGGCTCAACCAGTACCTATACCTGTAAGATAGAGATGGTCCATAACCCGGTGGGAAAAAATCGCAGTACTTGGTTGCCCTTCTCACAATGGGGCCCATGAGGAGACCCGGGGAGAACAAGCCGGAGTACAAGCCGGAGAACAGTGAGTTTTTAGCAAAGTTAACCAAATTTAATTGAAAAATTTACGTGTTTTGGTATCGCCCAGATACGGGCCTTCCTCAGAGGGTGTTGAAATGACATGCCTTAGAATGATAAATATCTATAGATTTGTAGTACAGGTACTGCATTATCTCGGCGTTGTCTTGCGCCACCAGAAGATAATATATACTTGTAGGTGGAAAATAGCAGCTTGAAATGCATGACTGTACAGCTCCATGATTTTTCTACCACAAACTTGACAATTCGTGTTCGTGCAACTGCATAAATGGCTTTTCTTAGACTATTCATCACAGCCTGTCATTTCAGGACCGACCCGTGGTACTTGTACTTGGTTGGCCCATTGACGAGTGCTAGAATGCCATCACAATGTCTGTGAATGCGCCAGAGCTCCTGTGCATGGTTTGGTTGTTCGTCTTGATGTGGTGGGAGTGAGGAGGGCGGAGGGTGCATGAAGCTGCTTGGGATTATGTGCACCGTAGCTGCGAGTTTGAGGTATTCAGTGAGGCAAAGTGGAATTGGTTGTCTTCAATTTTCACACAGCATGCATCCACACTTCTTAAGTTACGTGGGATTTGGTATTGGACCGCTATGAAGTCATTCCAAAAAATGTAAATAAATACCGGGGGACTGACCTATAAATGTTAACCACTGCAGGCCAGTGCAGGATCACCTTGGTATAACCTGCTCTACCTACAGCATGGTGGGTAGGTACGTAGGTACTAAGGTATCTATATACAACATTAATGCTAGGCTCGGGTTTCCCACGTGGGATCAAATATGAGACTGGCCTCTTTTCAGCCTGTGGTTATAATTAAAATTGGAGAAGTAAAAAGAGAATGTAAAATTGGAGAAGACGAGAGGGATAACAGGAGGTGCAGGAAGAGAGGAAGAGCAGAAGTGGAGGAGTGGAAGGAGAAGAGTGACAGGAGGTGAGGAACTGAAAGAGGAGAAGAGCAGAAAGAAAAGGATAGGAAGAGGAACACTTTTGGTATGTTTATATTAATTATGTAAAGGCCAAAAAAACTACATGTTAGTGATGTCACATACATAAGGCTTTCATAGTCAGTTGCAGCTGCCTAAGACTCATTAAAAAACCAGGGTGTGATGCACAGTGGTCGTCCGCAATTCAGTTTGTCAGTAAGCAGAGGATGCACCTGATTTATCATTTTGATATTGTGTAAGTTTGCATGTAGATAGGCAATGACAAGCAACTGAGCTTTGTATGATGCACCTGTGAATGCATATGTATAAAGTTTTGTTGTTAACCTCTCTACCTGTATATTTCTTATTAACATGTACCATTAATCAATCTTTGCATGTATAGGTGAGCTAGTAGCACTACAGGGATATGGATGGGATCAGCGTGGCACCCTCACTCACAAGAAGTGCTCTGTTCCACTGAAATGCAAAACTGCATGCTGACACTAATTTTTTCCAGAAAAACATTGGGAAAATGTTGCCCCATTAAAGGCAGTATGTGATGTACTCCAAGCAAGGCCCATTGTGCAGACACTCATTCCACATTAGAAAGACCTTTGCTTGCAGGCAAGTTTGTACTCCGACCACAATAATTCTTGTACTCAACCACCAGCAAAAAAAAAAAAACTAAATTCCCCACCCTGCCGTGACACGGTGTTTAATGGAAATACACCCCTCATCCGACCTCTGGTCTGGTGTCCATTGAAACTATGCCCCTGACATGGTGCTCACTGGATCTACACCTCTGGTCTGGTGTCCATTGAAACTACAGGTCAGGGTATAAACTGCTACCTCATGTTTTACCAACAAGCAGCAACCGCGACCCTGGCACTACTGCTACTTGTGATCAGATTACTGCGCACCAAGAATCATAAAAATGTATGGGGCCAAGTGACAAGAACCAAGTGAGATATGTTTCTTGTGTATCCAAGCAGTCTTCCACATTGTTTGTGGGTTGGTCAACATGGTGGGAAAATAGGATGTTTTTGGGTGGGAATGAAAGGCAAAATGAGAATATGTCAGCTAAACAACTTAATATGGCACAAATATATACACACACACACACAGACATTATACAATATATATATATATATATATATATATATATATATATATATATATATATATACATAACATGGAACATAGATGCCAATGAGACACTGGGTTGAAGAGGGTAGGGTGGGGAGGTTGGGTTAGGTTAGACCAGACTAGACTAGACTAGACTAGACTAGACTAGACTAGACTAGATTAGGTTAGGTTAGGTTAGGCTAGTTTAGGCTATGTTCTGGACTATGCTGGCCTCTCTGCTGTATAAATGTACCTACACACAATAAGAAATGTTTTTCATTGCATTATCATCTTTACCTTGGCCCTGTACATTTTTTATGGTTCTTGACAAGCAGAAATATTGTAACCATGCAACAATGATGCAGGAACAGTGCTGGGGAGTTGAGGCGGTGGGGTGTGTGCAGCGCTTGGTAGCTCGCTATCATAGTTATTAAAATTTGAGGGTAGGAGCATGAATCTACCTGTTTTATGATTATTCACGATAAGTTCCGCCTTAAAGAAGACAAATGATGTCCAATTTTTTTTCTAACATTAGGTATGAATGTATACCTACACCACACTACATCCCCATCCTGGTGCTCACTGAAACCATGCCCCTGGTCTGGTGTCCATTGAAACTACACCCCGAACATGGTGTGCACTGGAGCTACACCCCTAGCCTGGTGTTTGCTAAAACTACATGCCTGGTCCAATGTTTATTAAGAAACAGCATTACTTACTGTACAACAGCATGCATAGTACTCTAATGCTACATGTCTAAACTCATGCTTTAAAAAGGTTTACTTGGCACTGAGTCTCTGCCCCCTGCTCAGCTAAATTGTGAACCAATTAACATTCAATGCCATCTATAGATACTTCCACATACTGTGAATGCCATATCCAGTATAAAACCATAGTCCTTTCAAGGAAAAGGGGCAAAATGATAAAATTTGCTAATACCTGACAATTGTTAGCATCTTGAGATCTTTAGCAGTTACCTTGCATGCAGTGTTATTCTTACAGTGGGCAACCAGGTCAGGGTGTACTTTCCTACCTAACGTTAGAAAAAATCATTGTACACCATTCGTTGTGTTTAAGGCAGGACATATCGTAAATAATCTCAAAACAGGTAGAATCATGCTCCTACCTTCGAATTTCAATAACTTCGATGGCGGGCTCCCGAGCGCCGCGCGCACCGCACCGCCTGGACTCCCCAGCGCCGTTTCTACGTTGCCATTGCGTAAATACAATATTTCTGCTTACCAAGAACTCTACAAAATGTACGGGACCAAGGTAAACCATTCGTCGTGTTTAAGGCAGGACATATCGTAAATAATCACAAAACATTAGATTCATGATCTTACCTTCAATTTTTTATAACTACGAATAATGTGCTTTCACAACAACGCAGAAACGGCGCTTGGGAGTCGAGGCAGTGGGGTGGGGTGCGTGCGGCGCTCGGGAGCTCGCTATCGTATTTATTATATTCGAGGGTAGGAGCATGATTCTATCTGTTTTGAAATTCTTTACAATATGTTCCGCCTTAAACACAATGAATGGTTTACCTTGGTCCCGTACATCTTGTAGAGTTCTTGGCAAGCAGAAATATTGTATTTACGCAACGGCAACGCAGAAACGGCGCTGGGGAGTCCAGGCGGTGCGGTGTGCGCGGCACTCGGGAGCCCGCTATCGGAGTTATTGAAATCTAAGGTAAGAGAATGATTCTACCTGTTTTGAGATTATTTACAATATGTGTCGCCTTAAACACGACAAATGGTGTGCAATGATTTTTTCTAATGTTAGGTAGGAAAGTACACCTACAGCAGCAACCATTTCAATCATTACTCAATTTAGTGAAATCATTTGCCATTGAAATTCCTCACCAGCATAGAGGCTCTGCTCAAACTCTAGTGAGATGTCTGAATTAACCCTATGTGGTGTGCCCAATTTCATTTAAGTGGTGGCGATTTTGAAATATCCTGAGAAATATGACATTGCAAGTTGATCACAGCACAATATAGAATGCACAGGCATAAGCATGTACATCACGCAGCACAGACATGGGCATTTAAGCCAAGTTTACTCCACATGTATATTGTTCAATCACAACCCCAAGTTGGTTCAGAAAAAGAACAGAGCACACATCAGTCATGCAGTGCTAGGTCATGGAAAACAAAATTAATCAAACAGTGGATGAGACTAATATAGGATAGGTAATTCATGCAACTACCAAGCAAACTCCAGCTCGCCAGAGTCGTCACAAACGCGTCGCCCACGGAAATTATGGCGTTTAGCGATCTTGAGGGTGGCCGACACTTACCAGGTACATTAATCGAAGGATCTGCTGAGGAATATGGATTGAACATGCCACGAAGGCCTCCTTGCTTCGATTCCATCGCCATCAGGATCCCCACCGCCCATAAACCCGCCACCACCCGCCAACGCCAGACGAGACCACTCGTAGATGCCCAAGGTTGCATAAAACTTTAGAGCCCCAACTGCTCAACCAAGATCACTAAAGAGGGCTACGTAGACGTGACATCATCATGGAACTATAGTTTGACAGCCCGAAGTGTGGTTTTTGGTTGATACTACCCAAAAGTTCGTAGTTACTGATATAAAATTCTGATGAAGTTAAACCGCTCCGAGATTCAATCTCCCTTCCAGAATTGTGTCTGCATGACACAACCATTGACCATTCATTCAGAGTCCAACCGGGAAGCGCCAGCCGCACGCCCCCAAAACATACCCACCATTCAAACTAATGGGTTGTGTAGCAGTCAGCTGGCTAACTGGGAGCCTTCCGTGCCACTGACGTCATCAAATATGGTATACTTGACGTCATGCACGCTTTGCTTCCAATAAACCCCTATTCTCAAGCACGCTCGAGGTCTTGACCATGATTTTTTTCTACGCCGTTACCCAAGAACAGGCAACCAGGAGTGCCCCTCCCTCAATCCCAGCGACGCAGTAAACCGTACGTTAACACCAGAAAACATAAAATCAAGTCACGGCACTCCCAGCTAGGAAGATGAAACAAACGTAAAAAAAACAGGCGAAGATGTGGAGCAGACCCGAAGGAGTTGTGTTAGGTGATAGGTAGGGAAAAATCATAGATTAAAAGGCTTAAAGTAGTCATTAGCCAAAGTCAGCTAATGACAGCCCGCTATAACCGCCCAATAATCTACAATCACCCAATTCACCGTGTTAGTAAGGGCTATACAGTCACACAAGTCGGAGGGGGGCAATTACCTGGTCATTTTTGTGCTGGGTTTTGAGCTGGATGTCCAGGGAGTCCACCCAGCTAAGCAGAGCTTGTTGCTGGGAGAACTCCCGGAGCCAGCGCCATGAATTTGTGTGTATGTGCATTACTTTATATCAGAAATTGATTATGAAACATGAAGGAGGTCAAATATGAAGTGCGTTGGATATGTACAGCACAAGGATGGCAATGTCTTCAAATATGTTAGTTACGTTAATATGTGTTCACGAAATGCTTGCGGATGATGTTCTTAACGATGGTTTTTGATACAGGGATATGGGCTATTCTTGGAAAATATGAAACCATATTGTCGTTCCACAGCTTAGGGCCAAGGCAAGATGCTGTAAATAGTCTATAGTTATGATAAGAGAAAGGTTGGTCTAAATGTTTTGCTCGTCTCATATCCATGTCATTGGATTCATAGAGGTTGTAAATTAAATCGAATGAGGCAGGGAGCTGTGAAGTTAAAAATTTGTACATCACAATTAACATTTGAGATGTAGCAATATCCGATAGTTTCAAAATTTTGCATCGTTTATGCTCTGAAAATTCTCCGCGATTCTCCCTCGCTACGGAAAGTTATCTGGGATAATTCTCCATGTCGGCAGCGCCGAACGCCAGTCAGGGAAATTTCCCAACATTCCGGATAATTTTCCGAGATTATCTGCCGGCCGAACGCACCGTATGTGTGATGCCAGTACATCTTCGAGCCTAGTTAGTACGGATCCTTGCTAGGAGGGGGACCCTGTTCCAGGGCCTTGCGGGGGACCGTGTTAAGTACCGATTCGTGCTAAATCTGGCGGGGTTTAGCACGCATAGACAATAATCAGCGCAGTCCGGTAGCCCAATGCGCAACAGAGGAAATAGGCTATTTAGAGGTGAACGTCGTGCATTTATTTTCGTTCTAAGGGAGTGGAAAACCTTCACCATTTTGGCACCCCAATTCTCATTTGATTGCAAGTTGCTGCAAGGACGCGGTCGGTTGGTGGTCGGTGAGGAGCGTGGGCAAACGGTTAGGAAACGTGCTCGGAGAAACACTTGCACTTAAGTTACAGAGCGTCATGTTCTACCGGATGAATATGATATTTATATATCCTGGACTACGGGCCTTGGGTATATTGTCTTGCGGATAGTGCGGAAGATGGAATATGGTTCCTGGGCTGTACCGGTGTACCGATTTGTATTAGGCATGGGTTTGGCTCAAATTTCTAGAGTTAGCTAGGGGATGGGTCGCAAAGTTTGAGATCTGGTTCAGCTCAAGACTCATTCCTACTCTATTTTTCATTTGACTTTGTTAAGTGCATTGCTTGCATTTAATCATTTGGCCCATAACTCACGTAGGTTGTAAAAGTAAATAGCTCTCTCTCAGTTGAGATTTGAGAGATTCCAGGATCAACAGTATGGTGTTTGCTGCTTAGGAAGAACACCAAACTTCTTGCAAAGAGCATTGTGATTAACATTGCATGGTGTTCAATTTAACTCTGAAATTGTATGTTGACTTGCCTAAAGTACAAAGCATATCCTCACACTGCCACTGAAGTTTAGACATGTGCATCACTGATGCAACATTGCTAGAAATGATTGGCCCATGATTCAGTGCATGAAATGTGTGAAAAATGTGATTTAGGTCATGACTCCAAGCAGCATTCTTCCTAGTGAATAAATGCAGCCTATAACTGAGTCCCAAAACAATGACTCATGAGCTGATTCACAATCCACCTAGCATGAAACAACAGACAAATAGACAGATGTATACATATGTATATGTATACACACATACATCTATATGTATATGTCCTCTGGTTCAGGGCTGATATTCAGCAAATTTCTGTATGAATAACATCAGTGTTCCTGTTTAGAAGTTCCAGTAAGAATTCTGTGTGATGTTGCAAACATTTTATGACAAATGCTGCATAGTGCTAATTTTGACCCTGACATAACGTTTGAGTTTGCATAGAGCACACTGTAATTCCTCATGCTGCTAATGTATTTTTAGCTCTATGACTCACTGATGCAGCATGGTGAAAAATCATTAGCTTATGATTCAGCTCATGGAATGTATGAAAAATGGGAGTCAGGTCCTGAGGCAAAACAACATTTTCCTGGTGAGCAGATGCAGCATATAACTCACCCCAAAATGATTGAGTTGTGTGAGCAGATTCACTATTCAGCTTGAGCTAAACTCAGGTCTGGCTGGAATGTGTATGTGTGTGAAAAATGCTGAATTTAGTAGATGGTTACCTGGTTATAGACAAACTTGCATTATTTTGGCATGTTAACCATGTTGTTAAAAGGTTTTGTTATCTGATGCCTGACATGACAACAAGGCTTGAGTTCATTCACAAGTTGAAATCCCGGATGTGAACTTGTCTTCTTTAGAACATGCATGCTAGCAGTATATATATATATATATATATATATATATATATATATATATATATATATATATATATATATATATAAGCTGCAAAAAGTCTCCTATATAAGTGTTGGTAAAGACCTTGGCATAGGTTGGATTTAATAAGCTTTTTCTGCACTTGCACCAGCTTTCTTGTTATGGTTGTCTGTCCATCTTTGAGACTAGGAAGTGACTCACTGATATTTGGAATAGATTGGTTAGCCTGATGTTTCGGACCCACATACTCCATTTACAAAGGTACACACATACAACTTACAGGTGACAAATTTGTGATGACGTGTTACAGTTGGGTATAACCAGTAAGGCATAGCGAGTAGGTACAATCAAGGTCAGTTCCGTCATCAAATTGCACAGTGTCTAAATGTGTGTGTCTAAAAAGGTGGTCTACATTTTTAGGAGCATGAGAATTTAAACAGCAAAACACATGCTGAATAGTGAGATATACAATCTAATGATGGCACTGATCATCCCTAAAGAAGGTGAAGGGTGACTGAGGGGCTGGTTTGCTCTTTCAGTTCCAGTTACAGTGTTTTAATTGTGACAGCCTCCAGAACATGACTTTTTTCTCAGAAAACTAGAGCAAGTGCAGAAAAAGCTTATTAAACACACCTATGCCATGGTGTTAGAACAACACTTATATATACATATGTGTATATGTATATATAGCCACATATTCATCAGTCAACTGCAGATAACAGACCATATCCAAATTATATCATGAGCTGAATTTCCATCAATGATGCATTCTTTAATTATAAAAGTTTTCAAAAAGCACTTTTGAAAACATAACAAACAGAACATTGATTCAGAATCTTGGCACTTTGCTCATGCTCAGCAAGTGTGTTATATGATGCAGTGAGGTCATAACGAGGTTATCGGTGCCTATAAATTATCTTCCCTCACTTAGGCCGGGTCCACAATGTTGCAGAAGTTTGCTGCAAAAAGAAACCCCTTTACCATCATGTGTATGGGTTGGAAAATGTAACTCGGGGTTGGGGTGGATTTTAATTCTGGGACCCCTGAGATACTGATGTCAGGATTAGCATGCATATTTTAACATTACCTTGTTTTCCTTCAGTCCGTGAGATGTTCCAATGCTGAGTGTGGTGTCGGAGTATGCTATAGAGTATAAGTATCACTATCAGAATATGAGTAATACTATCAGAATATGAGTAATGCTATTGGAATATGAGTATCACTGTCAGACATGGTGAAACACCATCATGTGTAGTATATCAGACACAATTATGCACCTATGTTCCCTGCACAGTGACCATTGCAATCCAAAGAATGAGCTGCAAACATCAGATTGAAGGGTGTATTTTAAGATGGCAACGCCTTATGTTCTTGAGCTTGTATCCACTGCTGTGATTATTCGTTCCCATACCCTGTCGTCTTCATTCGTCCATTGCGAAATTGGTCTGCGGTTGTGCGCTCTGTGGTACTTGGATTTAGTTGTCTACGGCTCGGATACGGCTGCTGATCTTTGGCCCACTCAGGTGTCTAGGGCATGTGGCGTCGCTTGCGCTTCTTACTCCGGGAGGAAGGGAGGACACTGCGAGGAATCGAATCGGATCCCATATTCCTGAGTTCTTAGACTTGTCCGGCTTATCCACTCCACTGTCGGCACGCCTATGTATTCAGTTGTGATGAAAGTCCGCATGCGTTATGTTTTCACGGGTGCTGGACTAGACTACTGAGCAGCACAGACGCTAGAAGGATTTGGCGGTTCTCAGTCAGGGCTGTAAGAAGCAGAGTTTCCGGAAAGAAGACCAGCCCGAAGAGAGTTATCTT